CATGGCTGACGAGATCCGAGATTCGAGATTGGAGGCAGTTGATCGATCAGAGTACCTTCTGGGTTGTTGCAGTGGGAATACCTCTGGATGAGATGCCATTCATCCACATACATGTGGAGAAAGCGATCGACAAGATTGTGAAATTGCACAAACCAGAGGCGGATGACATGGATCTGAAGCTGGTGAACCTGGGCTTCGACATTGACCCGGCATGCAAGACAAACATGAAGTACAAGATCATGGTGCAAACCTTCCAAGGTGATGTGCTGGAGGTAAGACTCGCTAATGCCGATTCGGAATGGTGCAAGCGATGTCGTACCTTTTTCCACACCGAGTCTACATGCCAACGAGCAGGGAGGAGGCCGGATCAAGGCGCTTCGAGCTCCAATCAGGGTCAATCGACGGCCAGGCGGAATCAACAACCCCAAGGATACAATGGGTCGTTGGCGGCCCCAGGAGCGTCAGTCCAACCGACAGGTTCAGCTGCACCAGCGAACGCTTCGGAAGGTATGGCAGTAAGGATGAACCCCGTCTTTTCTCCGGGGGTTAACGTGGGGCATCCCGCGGTAGGCACCAGCCAGGGTCATGACCCCAGGATCCGACAGGACCCGGCCATGGACGCTGCATGGGCGTTCTTCTTAAGTAACTTAACATCACACCCTGACGTGGCTCAGCAATTTGGCATGTTCCCTCCTCAGCAGCAGCTCGGGACAAGCCCTTCGGTTGCTCATCTACAGGGATTTGTTCCTTGGCAACCGACAGGCCAGCCAGGCGGTGGATTTCCACCAGGCCCGACCTGAGGATTGTTCCAACAATCGGGACCTGCCCACTCCGGGAGTGTTGCCCTCGGAGGAAGTGGCAGTCGGATCCGAGGAGAATCCCCAGGAAAACAACGAAGGCTTAATGAGGGCGAGAACGTTATTCATGTCGACAACCTCCAAGCAGAAGATTCAGGAAGCTCGAACGGCTCCCAATCACGATCCACGACAGCAGGTAAGCGAAAACCCTCACGCTCTCGTATGAATGCTCTTTCGAAGGGCCAATCGGTGTTGGAGTCGAAGTTTCTCCCGATTATGTGTACTGTTGTCAGAGATGCCTTATGGGTTGTTGCTTGGATTGGTACAGATGGTCTCCTGTTTCTCTTGAACTCGAGCTGCCCAGAATCTCCAATGCCACATACGCTGGAGAATTTGGCACGCTCGATGATTCAAGATAAATTCAGATTTCGATTTATTGAAGTCTCGATGCCTAGGTTTTTGGTGGAAGTTGAGGGCAAATGATCCCGATACTATACTCCACTGTTCGATGCACGCTTTCTGCCGAGACAGCTAGAACAGTTAGAGAGTGAGGGCTTGAGGTTGGTCCCGATGTCTTGGTTCACGGATGGTAGGAAACCGGATTTGCACCGCATCAAGGTGGCCCCGGCCGTGATGGCTGATTTCTTGTCTGATTTAAATTCGAAGTTGAGTAAGGGAAAGAAGTTGGACTCCCCCTTCCTGACGCGAATACTGATAGAACCATGGCTGCCCTAGGTCCCCACCAGTGTGTCCCGATCCAACTAGCGGGAAGTTGGGCCCTGAATGGGCAGACTTAGATTGGCCACGTGGAATGTTCGCGGGTTGGGTGACACAGCTGGCAGGAATAAAAAGGGCCGGCTCAAGAGCTGGATTCATGAGAATCGAATTAATATTGCCTGCATTCAAGAGAGTAAGCTTTCAGAGTTTAAAATCTCAGAGCTAGGTGCCTGGTGGGACGGACCGCAAATTTGGTATCCCGCTAGAGGCTCGAGAGGTGGAGTGGCCGTTCTTGTACATAGGAAATTGAATGCTGAGATATTCGACTTTTGCGCTGACCTCTGGGGGCGATGGGCTTGGATTAAGCTCTGGATTGATGGTCAGGAATCACAAGCGGTTAACAGGGACCCCCACTTTTCGGCCCTAGGTAACGATGAATGATCCTGAATGATCCTGAATTTAGGGTTTTTTTGTGTTTTTTTGGAATTTTTTTTTTGCCTGTTTTTTTTTTTATTTGGACAAGCTTTCTGTGTGTCAAATTTGATGTCATTTGGAGTAAAAACAGCAGGGAGTGAACGGAAACAGGGCTCCCCCAGCAGGGCAACAAGCAGCAAAAACAAAACCCAGCCTTGCTCAACCCAGCTGATTCTTAGCGGAAACAGGGCTCCCCGGGAGGCACCAGGGAGCGGTTCCGTATGTGGAAGTTTTTTTTCTTTTTGGATCAGGAAGGGATTTCTGAGAGGGAGAGGGCATGGGGTGGGAAGGGGTCAGGAAAATCCAAGGGAGGCCAAAGCGGGAACGAGGGTTCTATGTGTGTCCAATCCTTGAAAATTAGACGATAATCTCTTATTTCATCCAAAACCTGTTGTCCCTCTCCATTGTCTCCACTCCATTCCACTTTTGCGATCCATCCTTCTCTCTCCCCACCTACCCACCCTTCGGGCCTTGGTTCAGGCCCGAGTCCCAGGCCCCAGTACTGAGTCCTGGATCATCCAAAGTCTCATGCTGTGTTCCATAAGTGGTTCCAACCACTTGTATAATTTCCATGAATATTTTTAGAAGAGTAGTTTGCTTTTGTACCACGACTCCAGAGACCTACCATCTTCCCCCCGAACATAACGCACTCTGAAAATGAATGTATACACGCTATATTTCCGGTTCGGTACAGCCATAATCAGGGTGCGTTGTGTTCGGGGGAAGACGGGAGCCACGATCCAGCACACAAGTGGCTTGGGTTCAATCCCCATGATTGGCCTCATGTACCTTCCTGGGCAAGCTTGGCGCCCACCACCTAGAGATAGGCCGTTAGTCCCCCCAAGTGGCATTTAGCAGAGACTGCTGATGATAATAAGGGGAGGGGACCGGCCGGTAGTTCCCCCGAGTGGCATTTAGCAGAGACTGCTGATGATAATAAGGGGAGGGGACCGGCCGGTAGTTCCCCCGAGTGGCATTTAGCAGAGACTGCTGATGATCATAAGGGGAGGGAACCGGCCGTTAGTCCCCCGGAGTGGCATTTAGCAGAGACTGCTGATGTTCATAGGGGGAGGGGACAGGAACAGCGACTGGCCCATCCGAGAACCTTGGTCCTGATGCTACGGCCTGACCCCTAGCGGCCGTGGCCGGTATCACCCACCTACTGTAGCAGGTATAGCACCTGCTAGTGGGTGCTGCTCCCAACGTTGAAAGAGAGTGAATCTTTCGCAATAACGCGGAAGATTCACTCTTTTTCAACATTGGGGGAGAGAGAGAGAGAGAGAGAGAGAGAGAGAGAGAGAGAGAGAGAGAGAGAGAGAGAGAGAGAGAGAGAGAGAGAGAGAGAGAGAGAGAG